AGTGGCAGGAGCGCGGCGTGCTTTTCGTAACACAACATGGGGCTAATCAGTCCTCAGTCTGTTGCCCGGTCCATGTTCAGGACTGTCATGTAATTCTCTGCTGGCTTGTACATGTGCTGAAAGAAAAGGGACTACACCCTGACTGCCTTGAAAAAGAATCAAAACATAATAGAGAGACAGACTGCACTTTACTGTACTGTGACCTGTACAATACCCTACCATCTCCATGTCAACCACTGTCTCTCCACTGCACGTCCCTGGAGGGCCCTGGCCCATTACCCTTTCATTTGGGTGTCACTGTCACCCAGCATCAGCATCCCCACTTCAATCAGTACTGGCCTGGTGTGGGGGCAAGTGTACATGGGTAAAGGAAGAGTGGAGGTGACACTGCAGAGGAGCAGCTGGGAGCATTGTGGACCACTGCCCAGAAACCACAGTGAGAAAAGAAGGAAGGAGAGAAGATGGGGAGCAAGAATGGCAGCCTTTCCAAACCCTCATGACAAGGCTAACTGAAGCCTGACAGCAAACTTTTATCCCATAGATCCTTTTGGTTTATCAATTTCCCCACCACCACCAAACAGCAATGATTTCAGATTGAATAGGACCCTTGGTTCTTGAAATATCTGTCAGTGTCTTTATTTCTGTACACCTATTTATTCTACATAAATTGTTTTCCCCTCCTCCTACACACACGCCGTATGAAAGCTTATCTCTAAGTGCCTCGACTGCCTGACCATCATGTCTCTGGACTCCTGGTGACCCTGTGGGCCTGTAATGGCAGTGGTGTGTCACATTTCTGCTGCTGGGACAGATTACAGGGTACTCTAATTACATCCTCTGCCTGTCATCCCCCTCCAGCCAGCAGCCAACTCCACGTAGCACAACTCAACATGCACAACAATGCCACTGAGAAGAAGAAGCTTTATTTTATTGTAACACTGTGACACGTACAACAAAATTTTGTTTGGAGCCGAGGGCCCCGCGCCGCCATCACTGCAACTTGGGGGGTTCACTGTCTTGCCCAAGGACACTTCAACATGTGGACTGCAGGCACCAAGATTCGAAGCCTCAACCTGCTGGTTGGGAGGCGACTGCACTACCCACCTCACTACTGTCACCCCCCCACCCCCCCATGTCTAGCTGGGTTAAAACCTAATGAGAGCCATGAGTGGTTTTGTAGGTTTGTATAGTCCATATTTCAAGCATACATAAAATATTCTGTTCTTGCAGACACACACAACTGACACCAGTTATATCAGTGTTGAATTAATTAGAAAGGGTTCAAGTGAACATCCTTGAATGGTTCAGCTGTGTTCTCCCATTTCCTGTTTATGCCAATGAGAGGCAGTCCCTGTATGTCGGTGATACAGAGGGGCTTATCAGGCAAGACTGGACTGTAGCCAGTTAGCGGAGATGGGCTGAGTGATACTCACTTCACTTTTCTCTGCCCCTCAGATGAGGACACTGGACCCGTAGTGAGGGTTGGTTTCCGCTTCCTTGGCCGCCCTGGTCCTCGTCGCGCAGGGCTGCGAGGTGTTTCCTCCTTCCTGCTTACACACACAAATGTAAACACACAAGTACACAGAGAGGAACTAAAGTACTACACATACGTTGTAGCAGCAAAGAAAACAAAGGAATGCACTCTGAAACAAGCAAACAAGCTGAAGTTTTCATTCATTCTGGAATCTTTTATTGCAACAAGTGGTGATGAATGTGACATAAAGAAGGATAAAGCTGTACTCACTGATGATCATGTTTCCTCTGAAGTTTTGCCAGCTCCTTTTGCTTCTCTTTGTAGCGACGTTGTAGCTCAGCCAACTTCACACGCATTGCAAGCTCAGGACCTTCCATTGTTTCCATACTACCCTTGGCCGGGCACACCTGCAGTATGCAGCATTAGTGGTTATTTTTAACATTAAAAACAACCTTAAAAGTGAAAGGAAAACACATTCTTAAAAAATCCATGGCACTTAGTCACACTTTCTTCCTACAGTTACATATTCTTTTATTTATGAAAGACAATAAAATCCAATAGGATCCTTTAGTTTTGGAGTATCAGCACTGGCACATTGTATATTTAGTCTTACTGGTTCATTGCGAGGCGTCCAGCTACATTTTCTGCGTAAATTGAGGATCTTGCGAGCTGGGAAGTGTCGTCCTGAACCCACGCTGCTGCCTTCCTGGGAGCCCAACTCTAGTGCACGTGCTGTGGCTAGGGTAGCGAGGCTCTGGAGGTCAAACATTAGCAACTCCTCTTCTGTTAGGTACAAAAAATAAACAATAACAGATTTGATTCACAGTTTTTTTCCATGCATGCTTGATTTAAAAATGCTACAAGTGAGCAAAAAACTCCTTTCACAAAATTTGTCAAAAGAACCTAATGTCGAAGTGAACAGGGACGTGGATGTGAGGAGGAAAGAATTTGAAGGAAATTTGGCACAGTATGAGGACGCAGCACCTTGTTGTTTTGGAGGTCATACCAATATGGGCTCAGCAGATGCTGCTGCTATGTCAGTAGCCATGTGGGCCAAGCTTTTTCTACATAGCACTTCCTGCCTGCAGCACTGATCAGACTACTGTATCTGCATTAATGTTTTGGACTTTTTACGGAGATGGAAAAATATATTTTATTTACAAGGTTACATCGTCTTCTATCTTTCCATGAATAAATAAAAAAAACACTGATCCTATTCACTTGTTTTAGTACTCGTTTTGGTAAAGACTATGGTTGTGACTCAAAAACGACATGTGCCACTTCCCTGAGCTGTCAACAGCATCACCTCAGGGAGACATCACTAACTCTGGATTCAGTTGATGATACCCTTTTTATAGAAGCCTCTTTTGGGAGCAGTTAAATGCATTAGGATGCTGTGGTAAACACAAAACATCCTTTTGCATAAAAAAAACAACACATTGCTCTATGAAAAACAAGGAAGCTTTTAAAGGCACTTTAAAACAATGGGGTCTAATTAGCAAGGCAATGCTCCAGGGTGCTGAAAACATCGGCTGCTTTTGTGATTACACACTAACTTTCAGTAACACATTGTGTTTGGAAGAAAAGGACGCCTATTGGTGTCTTTTTTTTCTTTTTAAGTTAGTATATGTATTTGCAACTGTGTGTGTGTGTGTGTGCATTTGTGCACACGTGCATCAAACTGGCAGGGTGGAGAGACAGATACAGCTCCCTAAGGAAAGATGGAAGGAAGAGAGAGGGACTGAGAAAAGGAGGTGTACACCCCGAGTAGTTTAAGCTCTGTCCTCCTAATTCTTCTCCCTCTCCTGGTCTCTACATCATTAGAACAGCCTTTCAGGAAATAAAAGTTCCTTTAACACATCAAAGAAGAGGAACGGCAAGCAGGCATGCAGACTGCTTCTCTGGGGATGTGTTACAATCCACCAGAGCCTCTTGAGGCCAGTAGGAAGAGGTGTATCTGTGAGGGAAAGCAGAGCAACAGAGGCTAGGCCTGGGGTGGGAGTGGGAGTTTATTTCAGTAGACACAGAGGAAAAGGAGGATAAACTATGAGGGAGAGGTGCATTCTTCTCATATTAGAGAAGATATTGTGCATGTTAATGTGTATGAGAAATGGAAGACCCACTGTCCCCTCACCCTGGCTTTTTCCACAGGTGTGCTTTTGCTGTTGCAGCTCCAGATCTGCCAGCTCACTCAAAAGCTCCATACCCTGGTGGGGGTTGCGTTGTGATGGGCCAATTGATCGGGTGCTAAAAGGGAACAAGGGAAATGGAGGTACGTCTGTGCAGAAGGCAGCAGCAATCAGCAGTTCCAGACTCCAGTAGCAGGGCACAAGAGGTCTGGGGGGCACGGTAACATTTGCCTGGCTTGGGCTAGGGGCACAAGCTGAAGCAGGGGAAAGACATACAAAATCCACTGAGGCATCATCAGGGGTCCTCTTGTTCTTGTGCTGCTGCTGCTGCTGCTTGCTATCCTTTGCTCCCTCGAGTTCTGGGGACTGTGAATCAGGGGCTGCAGGGGAAGCAAGGTCAAGCTCAATGATGGTGGGCAGCTCTGGCTCTTGCTCGCCAGGCATGCTGACATTTTGAGCATGCTCCACCTGGCTCTCCTCACCCGCCGCCTCATCATCCTCTTCATCGTCCAAGGTGATGACAGCTTCTGACCTTTCAGGCTCCTTTGTAGAAAGGGGGACTAGATAGGAGGCAGCCTCACACACTGGGCTATCAGAAGGGGGGCAAACCAGCACCTCTTCCTCAGCAGGTCCTTCCTCCTCCACCTCCTCCTCTCCAGGGACATAGGTGGCTGCTGTCACCTCTGCTACCTCTACCTCCTCCCGCTGTTCCAGAATTCTATCAGCCAGCCTGTCCTCCTCTTCCTGCTCCACTCCTTCAGGTGAGAGTGGCTCTGGGAGGGGCCTGACCACAGCTTGACAGTCTAGCGTCTCTCTGAGGTTGGAGAGAGACTGGGGAGCATGCTCAACAGGCTCTACTTGGACTGCTTCCAGGTCGGCTGGCTCAGCCAGTCGAACATCCTGGGGGGAGGGCCCGCTCCTGTAGCCCATGGCAATGGCAGGATAGGTGTATCCAGGAGGCAAGTCTTCAGAGAGAAAGAAATATAGATAGAATCATCAATTGTCAGTCTTGAATAAACAACATCGATGAAACCTCCTTCACAATGCTGTCATTTGTGACATTTAATCTGATCTACAGAAGAAAGCACAGTTGCTTTTGAAGAGGGCCATACATTTAGAGGTGTTGTGCAAATCTAAAATCCTTATACATCAGATCCATTTTGATGCCTTTGAGGTCACAGGGGGTGAAAAACAGGAAAAGGAAATGAACTGCCATAATCTCCCAGCGGTAGGAAGGATAGAGCACCATATGCAACCTTGTGTGTGTGTGTGTTATTTGAAGTGGGTCAGGCTTTTGGTTTATCAGAGCATCTGACACAATTCTCTAGCATGCAGTGGCCATTAGCCAGGCATTAATGATGATGAAGAGTGCGTGGTGTCTGTGAGGATGGAGGACAGATGAGGGCCACTATTGAGGTGTTTCTCAGTCATTACTGAGGTAACGGTACTGGAAAACCCCAACACAGCTGGCAGCCATTTTCTGCAGCTCTGAGCTGTTCAGTCAGTCAGGGCCTTGCCAGCGGAATCACTCACACATATTACCACAAGAAAGGACCATTAACAAAAGTAGCTATTAATTATACCCAATTACCAACAGTGCTGCTGTATCCTAGAATCTACTGTCCTTTTTCTGTTGCTATGTTGGACTTATTTAGCTGCACATCTGTAACCATCTCAAACTGTTACAAACGGCATGTTCTCTGACAGGCTTTCATCTGATGTTATCAGTGTCTGTCATTCTTAACCCAAGCAGTGCATCAAGGGCAGTTAACTTAATTGAGACAATTGTATATAATTTCAGGGCCGCATATTTTTTTGTGTCTGCATATAAATGCTTTTGCTTACCAGGCTCCAGAGACTCTGGGTAATCCTGTGGGGGCTGTCCCTCTACCCTGTTGTCTTGGGTTTCACCCCCCTTTGGCATCTGAGGTGGGGTTGGACTGATAGCAGGTGAGTGAGGGGCTGCAGCGGCAGGGCTGGGAGCAGGGCAGGGTGTTGAAGGAGTGCTTTTAGGATGTTGTCGCAGTGAAGGGGACTGGCAACAAGGGGACAGGTGAGCAGTGCAGTCCCCAGGGGGAGAGGTGTTCCTCTGAGGTGGGTTGTAAGAATAGGGCTTGGCAGGTTTAGATGTTCTGGGTTCCAAAATGAGTTCCTCTAGTTCAACTGAGGGCTCATTTGGCCGCTTCTGCATCTGTGGCATAAAAGTTAAATAATTTTTATTTCCAGATTTGCTGAAGGGTCAAACAAACCCTGAAAAATCTCAACAAGTGAATGTTTGCATTAGCAATGTGATAAGCAGTTCCTTGTAATCTGATTATTTGACACCAAAAGCTACTTGCTCTGCACCAGGGATATTTAAAGATTCACGCAGTTGCTGTGAGAAAATCAGCATATCCCAGAAAAAAAAATATATTAGAGGAGTTCAAAATAGATTAAACAGTAACAGGCTGACTAATGAGTCACTTAAAGACTTATCATTGTATGTGTAGATAGATAGATCTGTGTCAATCTACTATGTTAATCAAACAACCTTGACATGAAGAACTCTTAATTTGTTTCTTGCACATTTTGACTTTATATTCACCTGTGCATTATGAGTGGCCTGATGTTGCATGTCGGCTCTGAGCTGCTGCTGCTGCTGCTGAGGCTGAGACTGTGGTTGTGGCTGCTGTGACTGGTAGCTCTGGTGCTGATGCTGATGCTGGAGCTGTTGATGCTGCTGAAGCGCGTACAGCTCCTGTTGCCGTAGAAACTGTGATCGGGAGTACACAGCAGGATGTTGCATGTGGGAGGGTGGGCCCCGGGCACCATACACAGGAGGCCACAGCCCTGGCTGCTCCATCACGTCTAATGAGAAAACGGAGGAGGAATGTGACAAAGGGTGGGTTACCTTGGAACAAAAGGACATGCACACACATACACACTTTATAAACCTTTTCCTTTGGATTCACACACACACACAGTGTGTAACACAATAGAATACGACATTGGTTTATCCATATCTCATAATCTGCATCCCACACAACCATTTCAAAACAGTGAAACCATTATGGATCATTTAAAATTCATTGTATTCACATTTTATAGCAACAACAGACATCTCTTTACAAAAAAAACAACTTTTTGACTTAAAAAAATTATCATTTCCCAAAACAGCTGTAATCCCACACTCTCCCCAACTCTGAACAGAAAGCTTTTCTTAAGAGCTGCCTTGAGAATTTGCTGAATTGCTTTTAAAAAAAAAAAACAACTTTAAAAAAAGGTCATGACAGTGATGAAATGCAAACAGATGATGGTTGTAAGATGAATACAGTGAAACTACAGAGTTGTGAATGCGTGTTTGTTTTAGGCAGCCTTTCTGTCTAAAAGTCCTGCCTGCGCAGCCAAACCACAGAAGACGGTCCACAAAACAGCTTAGTTCCCATGTCTGTGGGTGCACAACTGTTTTCATTATGTGGCTTTAAGGATCAGTACAACTTGATATGGGTAATGTACTATGACAGTGGTCCCACTTGGGAAGTGGTTCCAGACTATAGGAACCACCAAACTGGTAAATGCAACACACAAAAAAATTTAAAGCACTTCTCATCAACAGTTATCCTCAAATTGACTCGTCCTTCTACCCCTTGTCTCTAGTGCCTAGACACACCAAAAATCCTTGTTCAGAGACATAAACTTGAATACTCAAATGTTTCTTGTGGGAAAGCTTTTGTGGATGCACTCCCTTTCTCAGCTGAAACACCTGTAGTGCAGAGAAGGAAACGTACCGTTGATGATTGTGAACTAATTAAATTTCACAGTCTGTTCACCAAATAAGTCTACAATGACTTTCGAAAAGTGATCTTTCCCTCTCTCTCAAACTTCATCTTCTTTTGCTGTGGTACACAGTGCATGTATGTGTATGCGTGTCACACACAAGCACTATTCCTGGTGGGCAGGTGGTATGGAGGAAATGTTGTGAAATGAACTGAGTGTGTTGGTGTGCATCAGTGAGGGAGCTCATTAAAGTGAGGTTCATCGAGATTCTTCACAGGGTCACTATGTTTACCAACGGTTCTTGTTGGCCCCAGATTATATGAACACTGAAATAACATTGTGTTGATGACTAGTGGGAAGCAAAGCTATGAAGTATGAGATAAATTTAGCGAATGTCTTAATTTGTGGGGATTTACATGTGTGTGGCAGATTTTAAGGATAGTACATAATGTGCATGTGTGAGGCTGAACAGTACAGAGTCATTTGGTTAAAATGCTTTAGAAGTGCACTTTTAGCATACCCAGGTGATGGGTTACAGGATGTGCAGGAGGCTCCGTGGGCAGGACCACCAGCTGGGCAGAGGGGTCTTGAGGCAGAGGCAGGACCGGCTGCAGAGGGCCTGGCATGGCTGCAGAAAATCCTGGGGGAAGGTTCTGATGCAAGGCTGTATGACCTATACCTGCTTTATAAAAAGGTCCGTTTATATCATGTAGCCATCATATTCTACAGAACGAACAGCTACAAAGTATATTATGGCTATTAATCATAATCACTAATTCATTAAATCACTTATAAACCTGATTGGGAACCAGTGAAAAGTTTTATTCAGCATACTGTAAAAACCTCACTGAATTCTGCACAGATATTGAGATGACACTCAACCTTGAAGGCATTCAAGCAAACTTTTGCAGCAAGATTATATAAAAGCACAAGGGCATTCAAGCAAACTTAACATTTGCAGCAAGATTATATAAAAGCACAAATGACCTGCAAGTAGGCGGAACATAGTCAGTCGATAATACACAATTAAATATTGTGTGTTGGACCTATTCCCGGATGGGGAAAGCAAGACTACACTACCCTCTATATGATCTCTAACACTCTGTAAAGAATACTTAAATGAAACCAGTGAGGTCACAGAGTTGAAATAAGTACACTTTTAGTATCTTAAATTCCAAAACTGTTGATATTCTCTCACCATATGAGTGTCCTGTCATCCAGAGAGATGGGCTTCCAGTTCTTGGCATCCAGTGATGGTGAGCAGAATGTGCCGCAGGATCTCCTAATTGGCTAGACTGGAGGGAGGTCCCACCTGGGACCATGAGATGAGAGGTGAGGTCTCCGTGACAGCTGTTGGAGGAGTGGATCCTTGCAAACTCTACCCTTTCCTTATTATCCCTAACATCGGGATAACGCAAAAAATAAGGAAATACAAATGAAGATCAGTATATTGAAAGTTAATAGCAATATAGATTTGTATTGGGTTTTTAAGAAATGGCTTTGCATTTGCTTACCTGATGTATGCATCTCTCTCTCTGTCCAAGCAAGTCAGAGCTATCTGTTCCCCGCTCATCCGCTTCCTCTCGTCCTCGGTGGTGGGATCTGAAGGATACATGGGGCGTGGGGGTCCTGTGAGACAAACATTAACTTAACTATTAGGTTTCACCAGTGTGTCTCCTGGTGAGGACATATTCCCAAATCTCTCACGATTTCTCAAAACACAACCACAACTCACTTGGACTACTGACTGTTTATTAGTTACCCTGTACACAGACCTTGTATATACTTCTCTAAGGTCATAGTAACCATACACTTATATATTTTTCTGACCTATTTATTTTGATTATTTCTGACCTGTTTATTTTATTTGCCTGATTTATGTATTTATTTCATCATACCTGTATTTCTTCTCAAAAATGAAATCACTCTTCTGGATTATTGAAAGACTAGATTTAGATTTACAATAAGATTTAGATTAAACCAAACCGTTATAGCCCACTGTTTTGAGAATGGGTGGACAGTGAATACAGATCCAGACAAAGACGTATGATTACACACTGTTGCTATATTTAAAATAATGGTGCGGCCGAATTTATTTTGATTGGGGCTGCTAAACGTAATAAAAAGCAAGACTGCGGTCTATTTTGTCATAGCCAGACAGGGAGCAATAGTGGTTTGGAGCAAGGGTTAGTAGGAGTAATACTGACATAATGTTAATTATTATTCTTGTGTATTCACAACATTTTCTCAGATTTTACTTCATGGGATTCCAGTATCAGTAGCTGTAAAGTTCACTTCTAACAAGAAAACTAAATAATACAGAACTCAGAGTCTCAACACCTTCTCCAAAATATCTTTTAGCTCATCACTGCAAGCAGTGCTCAGCAGAGCTGATGTTTTTTTTCAGCTTTATTTTAACCTTGTTTTCTCTGGTGTCTTTAACAGCTCACAGATGAAAAAAGAAAACTGTTTGTTACCTCATGAAGCAGTGATCTAGACTGCTTACCTTTGACAGAGGGATGTACCCTGCCCTGCCGGCTGTTGGGATGACTATCTGCTGAACGACAAGGTGGCTCCCTCTGTCTGGCCACCGCCACTGCAATCCCCACTGGTGGCTGTCGCACCTCACTTTCCCCGTGACCTGCTTCCCCCATGTCTCGGCTGCGCCCACTGTAATCAGGGCGCTCGTTGTCATTAGCTGGGCCCTTCCTGGAAGGTAGATTCTGTTTGTTGCCCTGCAGGGCACAGCTCCCCCCAGCAGGACCTGATTTGAGGCTCCCCAGGCCACCAAATGGGCTTTTCTGGGAGAGGAGCAGTGGCTGTTGCTGGTTGCTGTACTTTAATAAACTTTTCATGGCACTACTCTCCCCCTGAGTTGGACCCTGGGACTCAGGTTGCTGCTGCGGCTGCTGCTGTTGCTGACTGAGTAGAGGTGCAGGTGGAGGCTGGGGGGGAGGCAGGCTCATTCCAGGTTGCTGCTGGGAGTGTTGCCCACCAGCGCTTCCTAACTCCATGTAAGATTTCCTCTGTTCTTCTTCGGGTTGTGACATGTGGTGAGGAGGCCTCATAGCCCAGGGTGGCACCGTGGGCTGTTGGTGGTGATGCTGCCCACTGCTGTAACCATAAGGAGACATGTCCATTTTTCTTTTCAGCTCCTGACTAGTACCCTGGTTCAAGTCTGCAGGGGAAGGGGCATCTGGGCCAGGTTGGCCATGTTGCTGGTGGCGTATCCTGGCTACCTTTTGGCCGTCTCTCTGCAAGGAGCAGCTACCACCAGTACCAGGGCCATGGCCTGCCCCAGCCCCACTATGCTGACTCATGCTTTTATTTCCAATTGGGGAGGAGTTAGGTGGGGGTCCTGAATGGGAACAATCTCTGTAAGGAGAAGTGTTGACAGAATGAGGGACAGAATGTCCAGCCTTAGGCCCCTGGGGCAGTGAGGGTCTGAACACATCCATGTCCACAGCACTGTTGATACACTCGGCACTACGTGATCGTACAACCTGGTGCTGCTGTTGGGGGTGCGGAGGTTGTTGCTGTTGGGGAGCTGGTGGAAGCTGTGAGGGCTGAAGGTGTTGGTGGTGAGACTGCATCCAGTCTGGAGCCTTCTCCGTCTTTCTGTATGGGTGCTGCTGTTGCTGTTGTTGTTGCTGCTGCTTTCTGTGCCAACTACTATGGTGCCCACTGCCTCCATTTTTTTCTATTACCTTGTCCTTGGCATTGCCGCCTCCCCCTCCACTGCTCCCACCCTGGCAGTCAGGGTTACCAAGCTGGAATGGCCCACTCGATTTCTCTCCCAGTTCTGCCACAGAAGGTACAAATGTGGGGCCTGTGATTTTAGGTTCCCGCCCAACATTGGCAGGCCCCCTGTCATGTGAGGCAGGGTTGGCTAGAGGAGCTGAAGGGGGTGGGCAGAAGAAATCTGGGTGGTGGTGTGTATGGTGGGAATGATGTGGGTGGTGCGGGTGGCTGGGGTGAAGCTGAAGGCAGTGGAAGCTCCCTGGGTGTGGATGTGTATGGGGGTGAGCATGAGGATGTGGGTGTGTCCCACCAGCAGTAGAACCCATGTGTAAGGGTGGAGGCACAGAGTAGGACAGAGAGTGGTGGAATTGTGCCTGACCCCTTTCCAGACAGTCTGAAGGTTGTTCACTGATCCTCATCTCCCCACTTACCCCCTCTTTTGTGCAACGACTACTGCCGCTGGACCCCATATGTCTCCCCTGGCTGCTCCCCCCACCCCCCATAGCCCCAAGGACCGTGCCTTCCCCCCCACAGCTGGGCCTAGGCTTTAGTTCCTGCTCCAGTTCCCCCGTCGCCATTTGGCATCTTGCCATTGTGCAAGCATGCGCTGAGGGGCTTGCCCATATTCTGAGGGTGCTCCTTGCTATATTCCATCGTGAGTGACGCCTTGTGCCTCTCCAGGGCGCGACTATTGACCTCCTCCAGGGGCAGTGGGTGCTGTGGATAGTGCGGGTGCTGCTGATGCAAGTGGGAATGGTGGTGGTGTGTGGACTGGGGTGGCTGGTGGCCATGGTGCTGTTGCTGCTGCTGTCTCTCCTTTGCCTCCTGTTTGCTACTGGACCTCTCCTTGTCCTTGACAGATACCACTCCTCTCTCAACAGACCCCTCTTTAAGACTCTTATGTAGACCTGCATCTCTGTCTCTGCTGCAGGACCCCTGAGAGTGGCCTGAACCTGCCCTGGACATTGATGGCAGACCATGATTAGCTGAGATGAGAGGAGGCTGGGAAGGGAGACCTCGGATATAGAAGTTTTCTAAGAGAGGTAAGGCAGGCCAGTCAAGACAAATGCATTAGTCAAGAAAGGAAAAGACAGTGATAAAATTAGATTATTCAGAGCTCATGATAGTGTCCCTAGGCATCCTTATATCAGTAGCTCACATCAAATTACACCATACTATGCTCTATAAATTGGATTTAAATGTCTTATTTCTGTCTGATTAAATTGTAATCATCTCATGCCTCACCTTTCTGGGTATCATAGAAACGGTGCTGCCCATAGAGAACTCCACTGTTGGCATGGTGATCCAAGTGGCTCATGGGAAGGAAAGTGTGAGCCAGACTCCCTGAGAATCGAGGATACCCTGGAGCTGCTGAGATGGATAGTGGAGAAAGGGAAGGAGAGAATTGATAAGACAGGACAATAACCACCAAGATGCAGTTATCCAGACTAACCCAGTATAATCCTTTAGGTCCAATGCAGCTGGTGGTGTTCATACGCAAATAAGTCTGCCTGTCATGTTTGCCTTTCCCGCCTGAGTTTAGAATGCAAACAATACAAGACAAGCCTGGGGATTGTAGTAATGTTTGAAATTTATCTTTAAAACATATGGTTCTTTCTTTATCTCTCTCTCAGAACTGGCAGTTGCACCTCCATCTATCTGAATGGAGTGATAAGGACAGATTTGAAGCTTGTGTATACAATGAAGTGAAACCTTTACTGACCCACATCAGAAGTATAAGGTCATTTGGATGCGGGGCTTGTAAGCCAGTACACCTGGGCTTATTGCATCAAGCCCATCTGGAGGACATTTACAACACAACCAAACACAGAACTAATTTTGTAATGGGACATTCAAAACACAAATTACTTTGAAGTTGGAGGAGGGATAAAACACAGAAATGAAAGCCCATCATAATATTAGGACAAAAAAACAGCATCACTATGACAACCCACTTCCATGATAACCGGGGACTAAAACATCTAAACTAATACCCTATGTATCTCAACTGCACAACCTTTTCACACACCTGCAAAAAAATAGATTAAATAATATAACTTACTACTTTATTTTAATGCTTTACTACTGTAAATTGCAAACATTGGGCAATAAGGTCATATGACATTTTTTCCTGACAGCAGAACTATGTAACTACTGTAAATATTCCCTACTGGGCATATTATGTCATATGATACTGACATCAATATGAAACTTAAAAAGACCTGCGCTGTCCCCATCTAATGCTGCGCGCATGACACAGAACCTATATGAATCACTAGTAGTGAACCAGTTTCAGGGAAGGAATGAAAGAGAACAGAGAGACATGTTGCTTCTTTTCTAATCCATTTGCCTGTGATCAGGACAGACGGGTTGTCTGCTGTACACCAGCAGCACATACAAGCATCTCAGTTACCTTCGAGTCATCCACACAAGTCCAGCTGGATCACATCTAATTTTCCCTGCTTTACCACCTGTCTCTTCCTGCAGCCTCACTTTCGAACACAACTCGCACAGATTGAAGGAAGAAGGAGGGAAGAAAGAGTGGAAAACATGGCTCTACAAGCTAAATGAAAGACAGACGTATTTGTGTTGGCAAGCAGAAGACCTGATCCCGGAAAGTGCAGATGCAGTTCATTTGGCCTTGTGTGTGTGTGGTTTGGGGACAGGAGGCTGGTCCCCACAATGTAGTTTGTTGAGTTTTTATGAAAACGATGCGGTGTAAAGTCAGAGCAAGTATTAACTTTGGTTAAGGGTAGGATAAGGGTTACGAAGTAGCATTTATGGTTCAGGTTAGGGTAAGCCTCCTTTAAGTCTACAATATGTAGAGACCCAGTAAGTGAAAAAAACAAGTGTGTGTATGTGTGTGTGTGAGTGAGTGCAACACTATGGATTTTACAGCAGCTCCAAGTGTTAAATGTCTCACTTTCTGCTGGTGTAACAATGGGGCTGGTGCTGTGAGCTGGCTCTGGGGAGGGAGGAGTGTTGTGGTGGGCTTAATGACCTCATCTCAGAGCGGCCTCCGCATCCTCCCATCTTAATTAATGAAATGCACAGAGAGGGCAAACAGTGCTGCAATAACACAGGAGGTGCTGCTTTCTGAGGAGGGCAATGGGGTGATAATTACATACCCTCACGTTTTCGTTCAGCAATTTTTTTTTTTTACCTCTCTTACTCTTTTGCCTCTCTACCCTTTTGTTTCCGTCTCATTTTTTGCTGTCACGATTAATAAGCACACACTTTCTGCCAATTCAGCAGAGGGAGGAGGGGATTCTTTGTTTGAGCAAGACGTTTTCCTCTGATTTTGGAAGGGAGAAAAGCAGAGAGCTGTTTGGTAGTCTTTATCCAAGCTAGGAGAGGCTTTTTTAAATGTTTTTTTTTTATTTTTTCTCTGCAGCATCATGTTGTTTGTGAGCGTGACAATTGACAGCGTAATCCCTTTTCACAGTGTGGTCTGGCTGTGCCCGATAATGCCAGCCTGCTCAGTTTCAGCATGCACTCCACTGGACGGCAAGAGGGGGACTGCTGGGCACGGCAGAGCCTATTCAGCCATTAATCTGGCCAGGAGAAGAGAAGCTGCTGCTGCTGCAGGCGATGTGAACAAGGTCTTAGTGCAGTCTGCTGACTGCACAGCAGCCTCGCTCTCTATTGCTCCCTCCACACACTCACACACACAGAAACAAGTCAGCATTGGTGAGTGAATGACAGAGGGAAGTTCACAGCACATGACCTCTTTTCCACGGACGGAGCAGGGGTGAGAGGCAGAACAAACAGATCTGCATCCCAGGGAGGGATTTCCAGAAGTTCTGAAGGTATTTCTCACAGCACAGTGGGTTGAGAAAAGCAGGCTGACAGGGAGGACAAAGAATGGAGCTGGATATAGAACAGCAGCTAGAGGCAGAGGAGAATTAATCCTGCTAAATAAGAGGCAGACGACAGGGTATGTTGTTACCATCCTCTCTCTAATCCTATCCAGTCCTCATGTACCTGCTCTGAAGACACCATCCCAGAAACATTACTGATGGAGGTTTCTTCACTTTTGCTAAAAGGTAAAATAACATAATGGCTCAACCGTATATTTTCTCCAGGGAAATAGCTGTAACTTCGCAGAGATAGAGAGACAGAAGGACGGAGATTAAGTATGGCAGAAAAAGACCAAGAGGAGAGGAGGAGCAGACTGAGCTGCCTGTCAGGTCTGCTAATTGAGAAAAAGTGACAGAACCATCAAGACGCAGAAAGGGAGGAGAAGAGGAGAGGAGACGAGAGATGTTTGGCAGAGGAGGGGCAGTACTGTGGTGGATCTCCTCAGGTTTGACTAATTGAAAGGAAGGGATGCAGGCTGGCACAAGCGTGCGAGAGAGAATGAAAGAGGCACAAAAATGGGAGAGAGGAGAGGGGGTGCAGCTTAAATCCCACAAAAAGAAAAGCTAGTAACTGCTCACAGAAGGAAAGATGGACAAATGAAGAGAGGTTGTAAAGGCGTATCAAACAGAAGTGGATCAGAGAGCTGTGTGCAGGCAGTTGTGTATGTGCAGGCATGTGTGGACGGAGATATGAGACTGCGATTGTTTTTGTCATAATGTCAGAAGTCATTTGGATGACAGCCAGCTGGCCTCAGGCCTGTGAGAAACCCACAGTTTTTTGTTTAGTTTTTTTTTCACCGAGTTGATTCATTCGGGTTTATTCAAGTGGCTCCAAACATGAAAATAAATCTTTAAGAAGCTCAGTGGGTGAAATCATGGCTTAAACATTTTACACCATATTTATTAAAATGGTCACTACAATACATCAGCCTTTTGCCTTTTTTTTTTTTTTTTTTTTTTTTAATTTTTTTTCCACTTGAATCCCCCTAGTCTACGGTTCCCCTCAGCAAATGAACAGACAGTCCTATGTCCACACATAGGACTGTGTGTACCACTACACACAATGGCTGTTACTGTACTTGGCAATCAAGAGATGCTCTGAACCAAAATAAAACCCTCTTTTAATCCATGCAACCCTCTGAAATCATGAAAGCCACTAATGGTTTAGTTCTTGGCACTGTCACCTTAAACAAAAATTGTAAGACATTTGTAAGACTGTGTACTGTATACTTTCTCTTTCCCAACACAATAAATCTTGACGTAAATGTCAACACTATACCACATTCACTGATTCCCTGCCAAAGTTATCGTGATACAAAGGACCGCACCACCACTGTAATGTGGTAATGTTATTTATAGGTTTTCTGAACGTGTCACTTGGCTAGTGGTTCATCAGTCATGCTCCCAACAGAAACGTGGTCTGTATGCACGACTTAACCGGACCTCTCTGTACGTATACTCACATCCCGTCCGAGCTGATGTCCACGCCAAGGTGGATTATCTTAAGTTAAAAACACATCTTCTTCCCTGTGATTTGGCCACCCAGCCCAAGAAACTGAGCTTTGAAAGTCCCTGCCTTAGTGGACAAATATAAACTTGACTGTTTTCTTGTAGTGTGGACCAGAGAAAACTGATATGTATGATGCATAATTGTCGGCTTGTTTTTCAAAGACGGGTCAAAGTATTTCTGCTCAGCCAACTGTCATGTCAGATTCCGTCATGGCTTCTTCTGTATTTCAGAACCAATCATACATTGTATACATGTGCTGCCAAAGACATATTTTTCTAGGTTCTATTGAAAACAAACTACATGAGCATAACATAGCAATTTGCTTGACGGTCTGTGTGCAGCAGCCCAGGGGTCACCACTAGGTAGCATTTAGAGCTGTCAATCAAGTCAGTTTTATGATGTAATACTACAAACAACTGAAACAAAGAAAACTGGTCAGACTAACCAGCCTTGTTTGTCAGAATTCTACGTTTAATCACACTCCTTACCAGGTGTTGGCAGTCATGCATGTTTCATAATTTGCCAGATCGTCTTCTTATTAATATGCTGCATTAACTATAAACGATGAAAAATAAAAGTTTGATCATATGATTTAGCCTGCTCCGTACACTCACAGTTCATGAGTGTATCCACACTAAGTGAACGGATAGCAGTGACTAATTAGAACATTGTTATCGTTGCTCGATACATGGTAGATTTTAGCTCTTTAATCTCTGGAAAATGTGTCAGAAAAATAACAAAGACATTCTGCACCATGACAGGTATATGCCAGAGACATGCAGATCATACAGTAATCTTTGAATACAAATTTGAGCTGCTGTGCTTGCGCTTTGCATGCAAGCAGCCACTTTAAAAACACATGCAAAAAAGGAAATATCTTTAAGGTTACAAGTGACACACTAATGCACCAACACACACACAAGTCAGTGCTTGCTCTGCTGCTGGTAGGGTTCTGCTGACACCCGGAGAGAGGAGGCGAGAGTCTGGGTAATTGTGCCGCTCATTTTGATGACTTGCTTTTTATGCAAAACAGGAAAAAGACAATATGCAATTATCTTGAGGAGGGAACAGCTGAATGTGGTTGATGAACAGTCTGGATTCAATCATGCTCTTAGTGCGTTATATGCAATTAAACTGCAATAGAGATAATGGCCTCCATTGCCAACTGAGTAATAATCCCGGTCATAATCACCTCCATTACTTTTATTAGGCTTGGCATTATCATCATCACTCTTATTAATATTATTCTACTTTTCCACAAGAAGAAAATCTTTGACAATGAAACCCTGAAACTATGAGATGAAAGAAACAGTGATGGCTACAAAATGAGTTTGGAGGGAAAATGTTTGACTGAAGTAATGCTAGGAAAAAAAAATCTATTCTCTGTGTTTATTTGAAGAGGTCTAGAGTTTCACCTATTCTCACCACTGTAGCAGCTGTCCACTGACTTCCCTGGTGGCCAGAACATGAGAACAAGATGGGGGAGGGGAGGGGAGGAAGTGGCTAGGATGCATCCAATAGCTTAATACATTCACCAAACAGACAGCAGCTCAGCTGCAATGCAGCCAATCACCCCCAGCAACACAACACATCACACAACTAGGGCACCACTGATCAGTGACCATAAGTAAACACTCCCCACCGGCATCCTCCCCCCACGGACTAACACCTGGGCTATTCTTAGAAAATGAATATATACAAAAGGGCTGAAATTAAGAGTCCATCAGCCCCAGAGACTGTGGCTCACTAGATGGCATTGGATGGCCATCACATTGTGTAACTATCAAAAGCTTCTGGACGTGTAAAACGTCCAGAAGTGAAGTCACAGGAAAACACATCTTGTATTAGTGGATTTCGCTGGATAGGTCTTACATTTATCTCACATCTGAATTCCCAGAATACTCAAGCAAATACTTTATCCTTGTTGGACTTCCTGTTTGTATCTAAGCAGAAGTGCAGTGATGTGTTGGACTCAGTGTGTGTGTTTACATTGGCTGTTCACACATGTGGGTGTGCGTGTAGACAGGGTTTTGTAATACCAAATGTTGGGCAGGAACCACCCTATTAAGCTATGATGGAGACACCAGCTGAACACTCTGCAGCCTCTGCAACTTTTTCGCTGGCCCACATTTGCACTTTCTGCTTCAGAGAGACTCGACAGACATTCTTGCTGACATGAATCGAATACCACAAGATTCTTTGGCTGAACTTTTGATCCCATGTCCCCATCCAGAACCCATGGCACAGTGCTCCATCCCAAACATGCTGGGCCCTGGACTATTTTGGTGCATAAATAAACGGGTGGGAGCCTGGCTCTTGCTAGATGATTACAAACCGTGCTTTAGTGGAAACCTAATACGGGCCAAAAATACACTATATCAGGGTAACAATACACCCTGCAAAGCTCTGTCCCCAGTCCTGTCAAGATATGAATAGGCCTGCTGCACTCCCTCAGCCAGACAGTGCAGTCAGATGAGGGGGTGAGGCTGTGTGTGTGTGTGTGTGTGTGTGTGTGTGTGTGATTTGAGGTACCTTCATGCGAATGGGGAAACCAGATTTGCGAGGCGCTGGAATGGGGTCCACCCCGAAAGGAGGGTGAGGAGGGCGAGGAAGGCGGCCGGGAGGGGTGAGACGGGTGGGAAGGGGGGGAACCCAGACTACTGGCGAGAAAGGTCCCCATGAAGGAGGCGGAGGAATTGCCCATCAATCCACTGCCTGCATTCCCACAGGTACAAAGGTAAGAAGAGAAAACATGGTTAAAATTAGAGGAGTGTACGTACACTATGACTATGAATGTGAATGAAAAGGGGAAAAAACTGCATCATATGTAGATGGAAATGTAAAAGGATGGAGCCCACTGGCCCTCTACGCAGAATCATTAAGCCGAGCAGATTTGATCATTACCCTGGGGAGAGGGTGAATGAGTGAGTGTGAGAGAGAGAGAGTGTGAGACTTTCCTCCCCCTCACTGACAGCAGAGTCGCCTCCTCTCGTCATCTCTCCCCTCACACCGCCTCTCCCCATGGGCAGACAGAGGCTCATCTCACAGCTGAGTACACACTTTCTCAGGCTCTCTCCCTCTCGCTCTCACACACTTTTGCTCCTGCTCCCCAGTGTCCCTTTCTCTATTTCTCTCCCTCCCTCCATTATCTTATGCTCTCCATCTCTCACTTTCATGCCCTCAATCTCTCTTATTGCTCTACTCCATTTAACCTCCTCTTCATCTCTTTCTTTCAGTCTTGCTTTCCCTCTATGTGACTTCAACAGTCCTGTTCTCTTTCTTCTTCTTTGGTCTTATTTTGCCTTTTTGCTCCTTTGCCTTCCTCCCTCTGCTTTGTCACAGAGGCTCTTTCCTTTCTTCCCTTTCCCTCCTCTGTTCCATTTCAATGACTAGAAATACTCTGGTCCTTGCCTCTTCCCAGCAGTCATCGTTTCTTCTTTTCTTCCCTTTGTACCTCTTTCTTTCTGACACATAGCACTGCTTTGCTTTGTTCTTTACTCTAATGATGGCACCAGCAGAGCAATCTGTCCCTGGCTGGCTGAACTGTGTGTTTAACAAGACTATGATGAGTAATTGACCATTTTTAGCAACGCCCACGTGACTAGGCGCTGATTGTCTATTATGCATTGCTGGGCAAGCTGGAGAAAACACACTGATTAACCACTGCTTAAACTGCATTGCCACTACACGCTCGCCAGCGCACTTGAGCGAGGGGCCTCGGTGCCCAGCTCTTTGCAAATTCATTTCCCCCTAGTCACACTGCCGTGAAGTCTCATGCATATGTATGAAGATGCCTGGATGTGAGCACACATGCACATACTTGCACACTCACATTAGTGTATCATACACTGAGCACACAGAGCTAGATGTTGAAAACGTAGGGGAGAGCGGCATGGTAAAAATGTATCAGTCCCTCATGACAAGCTGCTAAAACAAGGAATGGTGTATTATTTCACTTTCTTTAAGCATGAATCAGCTCAAACATGAATCAATCCTTTTCTGGGAGTATGACAATAACTGCGTTAAAGTTTTAATCAGCCAGGTAAGTGAGCACATCCCCTGGGCAGATATGAGGGATCAACCAATCAGGCTGCACCAAACTGCCAATGGCTCATGGACTCAAGCATACAGGGGTGTGTGGGCACACACACACACACACACACACACACACACACACACACACACACTTTACACATAGACATAGGCATCGATATGCTTTCTTTTCACACATTACACCACATCCCCCGACAGGTGAAAATCCCCCACAGTACCAAAGGACTTTACCTTGAAAATTACCATAAAACCTACCCTGTGTGTGTCTGTGTTCATGTTTCGGTCTGTCACAAACTCATGGAAAAACAGTAACAGTCATCTTACTGTTTAACTAGCACATTAACTCCAACACCTCAAAAAAAAAAAAAAACCACAGGAGGAAATTTAAAAAAATGAAAGTGTATTTTATTGGTTTCATTATTGATTGCCATTTTCTTGCCATTTAATTTATTGTTTTCATTTTATGGATTGTCTGGTACATCAGAAAACCTGCAATAAAATGTTTTTGTGTCAAAGTCGGCAAAATTAGTCATAACTGAAACAAAAGTTGTTGTTGTTTTTCTGATACAGTACTAGGGACAAAATACATAACACATAAAAGCAGTGGGTGAACATCCACTACCACTGCAAACATTTGTGGGATAAAGCACACAAAATATATGAGAAGGACTTCAGTCACATGGATGCTTTATCAGCATCATACATATCAGTGGAAGGCATTGTGAGGTACCCTGATCTCATATAGTATCAGTGCTTTACCCCTTTTTAGCCTCCCTTCCCCTCTCTTCTGCCACCTCCTGTTACCCTCTGTTCCTGCAGAGCACTCCTGGCACAGCTCTGTGGAGGGCAGCGTGGGTGTCAGGGGCAGTGGGGAGGGTGGGGGTGGTGGACTATGGCCAGCATGCTCACCAGGGATACATCCAGGCCCCATCCTTTAGACACCCAGGGCTCCTGTATGGCACCAACCTCCACACTGCACACTCGTCTGCCCCTTTTTCTGCCTGTCGCCCGCAGGAACCTCAGCTTTCCTCAGTGCCTCCGGCTCATATAAATCACCTAATCCTCCTGCATTATTAACAGCCTCACCCCAGAGAGAGAGAGAGAGAGAGAAAGGGTGAGAGAGACATAGAGAGTGACAGAGAGGTGGCAGAGCCCCTCTTCACACACCAAGAGAGGAGAGAGAGCCTCTGCCAGAAATACAAGTAGAGGAGAAGCACAATACATAGACAATACATACATAGAGGTTTAAGCTGGAAGAAGGGCTGACCATTGGTCCAATCTGATTAGTAGTAGGTACAGAATAATAATGCAGTGGCCTTCACCCCTGTCCCTGTTGGCTGTTTTCTGATTCCACAGCATGCAGCTCACAGTAATGACCCCCTCTCTCTGCATTATATCTACTGTTTGGCTCCTGCTGAGAAATATACAGTGCATGATGCTGCACAAATCGGTTTTTCTCTTGCGTTTTGCTCAAGCATTCACATAACACAGCTGAATCTAAGGATATAAGCTGCACTCATACTATGTCAATATGATGGCCTCCATGAAATCATTTAAGATGTAAAGAATCAAAAGTGTTGTGAGGAAACACACATGGGCTGGTCTCCCTTAGTATTGGGGTAGTTTCAATTTGGGTGCCAACCAAAGCAGTGCCCACACCATAACTGTTGTTTTAGCAGCTTATTAAAAGTTAACATGGATCCAGGGAGCCTGCCACCACTGCAGCAACTCCTTGTGAAGGCTGTGTAAATTCTCAGCCATCATTTTTTAACACTTTGTTTCTCTGGTTTTTAAGTGGTGCCTGCAGTGTCCTTCTTTGGGCTTGTAAGAAAATCAGGTCATGTGCATCCTAATCGATGCAAATCCCTGACAGCGATGAAGATTAATCCTATTAGAGAATTAAAGGAGAGAGGAGCCCTGGAATGGGGGAACCCCACCTCCCGTCCTGACATCTAAACATCCCACCCAGACATCCTTAATCAAACAGTTGGGTTCAAATGCACAAACTCAGAAACAAACATACAAATATTGCAGAGGCACTGGAGGTGGATGTGTTAACTAATGCTACTGTTTCACTTCGGCGTGGGCGTGTAGGGTGAATGAGTCCAGTTTGTGCACAATAACAGCAACACAAATGCATATGCACACAGTAATGTGGGCCCAAGCAGAGGCCTCTGTGGAAGGCACAGAGTGAGCAGCAGGCAGGAAGGCAGAGCAGGGAGAATGAAGGCCCTGTTGTCATGGGAACAAAAGAGAAACAGCGCTCGAGGCAAGGAGGCTGAATGCTAGCCATTACAGCAGCAGTGGGCAGATGCAGTTGATCTGTGTGCTGCTGAGCAACAACAGTCCTTCCAGCATACCTTGAAACCCCACCCAAGCCACTATTCAGCTTGTAACACACACACACACACACACACACACACACACACACACACACACCTTTCTCCAAGAATTTAATGTTTTGGTTTCAAATGTTAGGCAGCATGGACTGAGGTGTCAAAGTCTTTGCCTCATAAGGGTCACTAATCAGTGAGCAACTACACCCATTAAGGACGAGTGGTTGTGTCTTAACAAGGGATTATACAACAATAGTATGTAAAGAGACTCATCTACGTGTGAGCCAAGCAGTGACGGGGGGAAAAGAGCTGAGAATACAAGCACCCTCCTACATTACACTGTTCTTTTGAATGCTGGGAATCAGATCAAAATTTCCACCCGGAGAAATACACACCCATTCATGCGCACTTCTGTGCTTGAGCTTGTGAACGCACACTCAAGTGCAGACCTACAACTATGCCTATTGTCTAAGAGAAGATAAAGTACAATCATTTCACCATGCATCATATTTCCCTGTCTGCTCCTGAAAAATGAACCAAGACTTCAGCTCTCTGTCTTATCTGCACACGGCAGCCTGAAGGGACGGATGGGCATGTCTTCTAGACAAGGACACCAGACAGACAACGAGAGATGAGAGTGATGGTGACAAGAGAAGAGAGACGGAGAGAAAATTGCAGGTGCTACTGCATCAACCTGCTTTCTCCAGCTCAGTGATCAGTAAGCACCAGAGAGGGGAGGACAGAAGAAGAGGAAATGCCAGGAGACAGAAAGACACACTTACACATACACACCACTTGTTTATAAGACCTATCACAGAAGGAGTCAATGAACACAAGGCAGCTGAGGTTGCACAGTCAGCGGTCAGTGCCATGTGTCAGCCAGACTCTGTGGCTCTTCACAGCGCAGCCTAAATGATTACAGCTCACATACTCTCCCTCTGACGTGTCCTGTGACAAAACACATACTCCCTTCCTTTTTCTTGCAAATAAATTAAATCAATACCAACAAGAATTAGAAACAGAAAACACTAAGCTAACTTTTTTTTAACCCCAAACGCCGCTTCAAAACCAGCAGCCAGTTGCAGCAGCTGCTGCTGGCACTGACAGCAAGAACAAACACCAGAACACGTACTGGTATAAGAACATGATTACGGATTGCAGACAAGTTTTCTTATTCAAGTCATTAAGAATTTCTGTGTTTGTGCACCTTTAGTTGCGAGTCATAATGGT